GTTCACTTAAGCACTCACTAAAAAGTTCAGAACATCCCTGCAGCTCTGGGACCTCAGACCACACACTTGTATAAAGTGGAAGCCAAAGAATGGTAAGTCCTTTATTTTTACAGGGTGTGATCATTCCCCCACCTGCAGAGATAAAACTATTGCTGTTATTACCTCTTTATAAAAAAAAAACATGGAAAAGTACATCTGTTTGGTTTTTTTAAAGAAATAAAAATGCAAATGGAACAAGGTCAAACACCAGACACTTCACCAGTGTTGTCTATTGTCTATGCTCATGAAATTTAGAGTTGAAGGCCTCCAGAGATACTCAATCAGTAGTTAGGCATTAAAATTGAAGGTTCTTTCTTCATGCAGGGATTTACAAATTAGCTAATTAATAAAGGCTAACTGTAGCTTGGTGACACTAATCTTCGTAAGCTTATTGTAAAAAAGGAAAACATCTTCTGAGAGGCAATTCAGAGGAGCTAATCATTTGAATCATCCTCTAGAGAAAAGAGTCTGTACTGATGAGTGTAAAATATTGGGCTGGGCTTGGCTTGGCTTCTTTGCTCTGCTACATAAAAAGTTGTATTTGCTGCAGAAATTGGGAAGGCTGATGGAAGCAACTAGAGTTTCAGAAAAGTAGTGAGGCAGGTTCTTCTCTACACCCTTCTCTTACAACTTGATGCCAGGGGTGAGTGTCACCTGTGTTAGATGTTCAGTTTTGGCTGTTGTATAGCTTCCCCTTCCAACTGCAAGTGGGAGAAAGGACTCCTTCACATAGAACTGAATCAGACCCTACTTAAGACACTCAGATGGAATAAAATATAGAGATTGACTTTTATTTCAAACCCTGAGGAAAGCTTCTCTATTTTTTCAACTGTCTTAGCTCAATAAGAGCTGCCTTTTCACCCCATGTATCTGGTTTTGCTTTTATATTTTACACTATTAGAGTTATCACAATGGTACACTATCAGCAAGGGTTTACTAAGCAATGCTTAGGTAGAGGAGCATTGTAGAGAAGTAGAAGTGACAAAAGAGAAGTAGAAGTGACAAAAGAGAAGTGACAAAAAGCCCATCCTACATAAGCCTTAAGGAGTGGGTATTTAAGTCCCATTAAAGAGACAAGTTCTCATAGTCTGGTATTTTCTATAAAACACATGAACATTTAATAATGCAGTAGAACTGGAAGAATGGTACAGAACAGCATTGACATAGACCACTGTTCATGGTCCAGCTCAGTTTTCAAGGTATCTGATACTGCAAAGGATACCAAAAGAGGGATTTGGTTTGCACCAGGTCTTGCAGAATTAAAGCTTTCAATCTGTTTGCCTCTCCAGTCAAGGCAGTTACAACCTATCTTGATAAAGACCTACAGGAGCTAGCTCTAATAAAAGATATACACACCTACTACAGGACTGAGATGAGGAAAAGTAATGCATTTTGATCCAAAACTGTAATCCCTGCCCAGCTGCCACCCACCAGGAACATGTCTGAACTCAGAAGGCGCCTCCCTTTCCCATAATCCCTCACAATACCTACAGTTTTACCTTTGTCATGCCCAGAACTGCCCTTATTTGAGCAACTTGGCATCTTACTCATATCTAGGCCCAGTCAGAACCCCAAAAGAAGGGGGGCCTTAGACTTCTCAAAATATACTTAACTGCATATCAGCAGACTAAGGTACTTCCCAAAATACACTTTCCCAGGAGTCAAAATGCAGTGGCACACCTCTGGCAAAAATTGATTTCAGGTTTCTCAGGTGTTGGTTTGAGTTTTCTAGCCCTTAGGCTATTGTGAAATGTTTTATGGCAACATCACTTTCACATAAAATGAAATCACTCCTGTCTAGAAGTTGTGAGAAGGAAGGAATGTCCATATACCATTTCCCCTGGTATAACTAATCCTTGGATTCAAAGCACAAACAGGCCAAATACCAAATGTGTATGTGAACCTGCAGCCTTGTATGCTGGGGCGAGGAGAACCTATCTCTATGGAAAAATTCTGCTCCAGTGACTTACATTTTAAAATACAGAAACCCCCCAGAGAGTGGGGACAGGATGACCACCATGAACCCTGCCAGGACTACAAGTCTTTAAATAATGGAATGAGGGAAACCTTGGCCTGCATGTTTATCCTATCCTAATGCTTGTTATCATACAACAGGGTGAGAACAGTAGCATGACTGCTAAAAATTCAATACCAACAGTTTTGGCAGCTAAGGCTTTCGTCCAGCAAAGCATACAAAACTCCATATAAAATGATGTGGTAAAGCAATTGAACAGTAGACACACAAAAAAGCAATGATCTTTCAGTCCTAAGCCTCAGGTTTTTAAGTGCTCTGCATAAGGCAGGCTGCTCATGGACAGCCTCTGTTACCTGCCTTGTTGGTGTTGAAATGACACATAAAGAAAACAGTTTCCCAGGGCTGATTTTGATCTTGCTGACACTGGAATATATCAGGAGTATTGCTAATACCATAACTGGAATAACTACACAAGCTTAAAATGAAAAGGGGGGTGAGGAGTGGAGGAAGGAGGAGTGTTTGATACCAGAAAAAGACACTCAGTGAGCAGTCATCCACATTCAGTTCAGTTTCATGACTCATTTTCTGACAGTTTTTGAGGGATTTTGTCCATTCTTTTTTTTTCCCCCCCACTGGTTTCTGGGAATCCTACCCTTAACAAAATCATAAATTGAACATTATTTGCTCCAGGTTTACAGCAAGTTTTCAACTAAGGTAATGCTGAGGTTTGAAATTTCAGTTAAGGCAAGATTTTGGAGCAATAAAAACTTTTTAAAATTAGGTATGAAATGCCTAAGGCTGGTGTGAGGAAGAAAGGCAGTGAGGCAACCAACCAAGGTGGCATGTAGTCCTACCTAGCAACTGACCTGCACTACAAAAGACACAGCTAAGCTCCATGAGAAGACTGGGTGGCATTTCCAAGGCCAGCTTGAGTGTCTACAATTTCTGGTAATTTCTGGCCACCCCTGGATAATCCATTCATAGTAACTGAGAAGGGGAATGGAGCCTTTGCACTTTCAGAAGATTTCTGCAGGCTTTTACCTGGCCCTTTCCCATTGAGCTATTACTCTTCCTCTGAGTGTAACAGGAGATCCTTGCAGAACTCCTGGGTGCATCCATGCCAGGTCTCTGGCTGTTGAGTTTGTGTGCATTTCTCATACAGCACTGCTAGAAGCCATGGCTCCATCCCTCTCCATCTCTGCAGATGTAACTTGCTCACTCTTGCTGCTTGGTAGTACCCATGCCTTTTTCTGACTAGGCAGTTTTCTTGGTATTCCAGCTCAAGAAAGCACTGCTAATGTTCATTCCGTTTTGCGTGCAGCCTATTCTGGAATTCATCTCATAAAACTTTTAAATTCCACTAGTTTATGATATTATTCTAGCTGCAGTAGTGTTGTGTGATTCAGAAATATTTTTTAAAGGGGACTGTGGTTCTGAAAAACTATTCCAGGATCAAGTCAGCATATCAAATGGACAAGTATCTCTCTTTTTTAAGTCATTCTTGAGATAGAGAGTCATATTGAATGATGGATCAACATGTTCTGATTCATGTGGAGGACAGTGACTAATTCAAAAATTTTCCTAGATGTGAATACAAAGAACTGTCTTGGAGATTTTTTCAGATGGACAGAAAAATTGCAGTCTATGTCCTTTGATACACTCATTTGGCTCCATATTCACACTCAAAAGCTTGGACAGGCAAAAATATTCTAATGATGGCGTAAGTGAATTATTGCATCAATAAAAATGTTACTTTCATAAATTACAACTAACTTGGAAAGTTGGAAATCTTCCATCCAAGGCATTTGTTCTAAAGTTTACGAGTATAAAGTAAAAAAGTTGACTGCTAACCACTGTATCAGCAACACACATCCATGTGGACTGCATTTTCAACAGGTGCAGTTATTTACATCTGTGGTGCCTACATCCATCTTAGCCAGGGGCTTCTCTGAGGTCATTTCTCTGCTATATACTGTAGTCAGGAACTTTCTACTTCTGGGGCTGCAATTCTGTGCTAAATGGCATAACACTAAGGTCACAGTTTTTCTGTTAATGTTATAAATCTTTCACCATAGTCTGATTTCCTAACACAAAACTAATGGCTGCAAACACATGCACACAAAAAAGTGAAATATACATTTTTTAAATGTATAGTGATGCTGCAACCCTAAGCCATCTTGAATACAGTGATGAATTTTTATATTTATACCGTTTACACCTACATATGCCCCTGAGCTTACAAAAAAGCCTTGAGAACAGAGCATGGCAAGACGGTGTCGCACCATTCCCCTTTAAAAGTTAATCCCAGTGGTTAATATGCATGGCAGACATGCATGGATCAATCTCCTCTCAGGAAAAATAGAGCAGTGTTAAAGTGCAGAACTGTTAAATATTTGCATAGTTTTGAAATGAACCAGTTGAGAAAAATCTCTTTTTCTTCATCCCAAGGATATCCAAGTTTCCACAATTGTTCCTGGAGCAGCGATGCTTCTGTGTAAACTATTGTCAATGCCGGGAGGGGGGAGACCAGCAAACGCCTCGCTCGCTCTGGAGGCTGAACACAACTAAAGTTTTCCATCTCCTCACTGCTTCCTTGCTCCCCCCGCATCTTGCCCAGGTGGCTCCGCCGCACGCAGCCACTGTCGCCCCGGCACCCAGCGGCACGGACCCACTGACCCGGGGGTCGTGGGCAGCCGGGACAGGGCGGACGACGCGGACGGGACCCTGCACCTCGCCCTGTCGAGCCCCTTTCTCCGCCCGGCGTGGCACAAGCATCCGGGACGGGGCCCGCCAGCTCCCAGGTTGCCGGGGCAGGGCTATTTTCCCCTCCCACCCCCGGCCGCCCTGCCATGTGCGGGGCCATCCCGCGCTGTCATCCACCCCAGCCGGAGGCAGGGAGCCGCCCTGGCCAGCGGCCAGCCCTCTCCGCGCAGCTACCTCCCCCGGCCGGCCGCTCCGCAGAGCGGAATCTTCCTGCCTCCGCTCCTGCAAGTCACAGGGCAAAGTAACTCGCGGCAGAGCCGTCAGCAGCCCGCGGCAGCATGTCCGGCACCAAATACGTAGACTCGGAGGTAGGACCGCCGGGGCATGGGGCCGGGATGCTGCCCCGCCGCCGGCTGCCTGCAGCGGCCACCTGCAAGCCCCCTGAGCCGTCGGAGGAGCGGGGCGAGGGGCGGCTCGGCGGCAGGAGGGCGGACGGCCGGGCACCTGCGGGCAGGGACAGCGGGCAGGGGGAGCCGGGGCGCTCGTCCCCAGCGGGGCGCGGTCTGGGGGGCTGCTGGCTGCCGTGCGGCAAGAGCGGTGTATGGAGAGCCCATGGAGCACTGGGATGGAGAGGGTACGGTGATGGCCCCGCATGAAGGGCGGTATAAGGAGGGGGGCAAGTGTAGTGAGGACAGGGCGGTGCGGGCGCCGTGCTCAGGTCCGCGCAGTGGGGGCGGTAGGGCGAGGGCGCTGTGGGGAGGGCGCTGCGCGGGGAGCCCCGGACGGTCCCTGCCGTGCCCGCGGGGCCACACCCGCGAGTGGGGCCACTCGCTCCGCCCCGGGGCAATGCCGTGGGGCCGGGGCCGCCTGGCGGCGGGAGCGGGAGCCGGCGCCTGGCACGACGGGGGTGTGGTGCGCGCCCCGCGGCCGCGGTTAAATAGCCGGGCGAGGCCGCCCCGCAGCCTGCATCCCGCTGCCCGCGGGACCGGGGCCGCCTCCCCAGCCCCAGCCCCAGCCCGCCCTCCTGCGCGGCGCGGACCGGCCCTGCCCTGCCCTCCCCGCCTCACTGGGCTCTCCCCGCCCGCCCGCGCTCCCTCTGCTCCCCGCAGGGTTTTCTGTACACGGCGCCCGTCCGGGAGCAGGGCAACATCTACAAGCCCAACAACAAGATGATGGCAGATGAGCTGAGCGAAAAGGCGGTGCACGACGTGCACACCAAAGAGATCGACCTGGTCAACCGAGACCCCAAGCACCTCAACGATGACGTGGTTAAGGTGAGGGGCCGAGGCGGGACGTCGCGGGGGGCGATACCAAGTCCTGCCGAGGCAGGATACGCGGGCACTGTCAGGGCGGCTGATGCCGCGAACCACATCCCTCCACCTGCTGCAGGAGGGAACGGGCCAGGGGCTGATGGGGTTTTTGGGTTTTTTTAAGAAAAGGCGGAGTGGGCAGGAGAGAGGCGGGCAGCGGCCAGGACAGCCCTGCGGAGCTCCTCGCTCGGGCGCGGAGCGGGGCCGGCCCCGGGTCGGGCTGGGCGCGCTGTCCCGCGGGGCGCGCCGGGCGGGGGTCCCGCCGCGCTGGGTGCCGCAGCCCGAGCTGCAGCCGGGACGTCCCGCCCGGGAGCGCGGGGATGAGTGCGTGACCTTGTGTAACACCGTCGGAAAGATTTTCCTTCCCCGAGGCACGCACAGAGGCAGGGCGGGGAGATGTCACAAACCAGATCGCCCTCCCTAAGCCTGGCGGGTGCAAAATCAGAGATTCTGGTGGCGGATTTGTGTCCTTGTTCTTTTTTGTTCTCTTTGGTGCTTTTCCTTCCTTCAAAAGACGATAAGCTAAGCAAAATCTAACTGTGCCCTTGCCTAGATTTTCTTGTTTGGGTTTATAAATCAGTTTGACTGTTTTGACAGGTCAGGGTTGATGGAGATTTTTGCTTGAAGTCACTTTGGTCAAAAATATCACAGAAATATGGTTTTTTGTAGAAAAAGAATTTATACAGCCAAATTTGTACAGTCCACGTGTGTTACGAACGAGAGTGTTTGAGATCACTTAAAAAATCATCGGCAAGGGTATGAGCAAAAGTCAGATTTAATATTAAGTAAGTGGCAAAGCATGACAAGTTCATTGGCAAGATTCACTCTGCTACTTACAGGACAGCCAAGGCACAACAAGGGAATACAAACAACAACAAAACCAAACAAAATCCAGGCAATCAAAACAGAAATGAACTGAGAACTATCTAGGGGGGTGTGTGTGTGTGTGCTTAGGTGCGTGTGTGTGACAAAAGACAGTGCGGGCAAGGATAAAAAGGAGCAGGGCCTGAAAGCTTAACAACACTCCAACCTAACATTGTTAGGCTTAACTTATACCTTAAGCCTAACAATTTAACATAGGAAGAACACTTATACCTAACTTACAGCTTAAATTTAATTTATGACTTAACCTAACCTTAGCAATTTACTGAAAATAAAATAGCATTTAACCTATTTATAACTTTGAAGTTAGCAACTCAACAAAAGAACAACACTTAGCAACACTTAGCTTATAACTTATGTTTAACAATTTAGCATTTAAGTAAGTTTATAACTATAACCTAACCTTACTCACTAGTTTAATTTACTTAGATACCCAAGGTACTTGGACATCTAAGAAAGCAGTATTTCTCTCAGATTTGCTGTAGCATATGCACAGGGGCATGCACACAGACAGGAAAGCCAGTGCAAGCAAGGTGCCTGTGAAGAATTCCCCCCAGAGATGAATGAAATACTCACTTTGAATGCTTTTGCACTTCCTAATGGGCAAAGGATTGGGCCTTGAGGAGTCTGCATATTGGCCCAGGATACAGCTTGTTTCAGTGATCCTCCATACATGAGGCTCTGAGAGGCATCTCCCTCAGAGGGAGGTTGCTGGTAATAGCTTGGTGTAGTCCAGGAGGGCTCAAAGGCCCTTTTTGGGCTGCTGTTTATAGGCTTGTAGGAGAGCGGGCTTTAGTCATAACAATGTTTCATCCTGGCCACACTTTGGGTCCACGCTTTCTCCGAAGGTGTGAGAACAAGAATGTTGTGCCATTCAGGCAGGAGCAATATTTTCCAAGGGTGGTCATAAGGAAAACAGCAGATTTTTAGTAATTCCTGGGAGTAGACAGTGTTTCTGGTAAGCTTGAAAAGAGCTGAGCCCAGGTGGTGTTTCCAAAGCCAAGGCCTAACAGGCATTTCTCAGATCGCTCTGCAGCCTGGAAAGATGGAGAGGGAATACACCACTGCAATGTGAAAATTGAGGGTGCTGTCATCTGGGTTGGTCAGACCCTAGGAAAAATGGGAGCTGCCCAGTCCTGGTAGGTGACTAAACCACTAAATGGCTTGCTTAGTGGCCAGCAGTGTCAGAGTGTGTGCCTTTCACCATGTTTGTTGTAATGAAGACCGTTCTTGTAAAAGAAAAATACTGTATTGTTTCCAGAGAATCAAAAGGTGAACTCTGGATCCTGAATGTGTATCTATAAAATGATCCATGCTATGTGCGGACAATTTAACAAGGTCTTGATTCAAATTCCAGACTTCAACACAATTTGGAGGTGCTGAATATGACAAGCCATGGTCATATTTCTGGATCCATACTAAGAATTATCACAGCAGTCTGTATCTTTAAGGAGCCATATAAAAATGAAAAGGCATAAAATTATTACTTGTTTAGAAAAAATAATCTGTGTACCTAATGGTACAAAACTGCCTTTAAAATGGATGATTTTAAAGAGGAGAGAGCAATTATTTTTTCTTCTACCCATGGAGGAGCAGCTGAGTAGACAGGGAATGCCAGAGCTCATGAACAGCCCTGCATCACAGTTTATTGCATATGTCAACAGGAGAAGTCCCCAAAGCAACCAGACCTTCTGAGGATGAGTCATTGCTCCCAAGCAAGTCAGAATTCTGGTGTCCACAACCTAACCCAATGAAAGAAAGACCCTGATGGGAAAAGAGACCACTGACAGAAAAAAACCATAATAGGCTTAAAAGAAGCTGAAACCTACAAAGCCTATCCTGCCCTCTCTGCCTCCCACAGAGACAAGGATTAAGGGAGTTTGTTACATTCCGTCTTCTAAAATAAACTTGGCGAATAATAAGTGTAGGAATGGAAAAAACAAGCTTTTCAGTTTGTCCTTTTGAAGTAATCGTGGTTCAACACATTCACCGAAAAACTGCAAACAGCCAGAATACCAATACTGCCTCTGTCACCAAGTGAGCTCCTGGTGGTGAAGATAGTCACATCAAGACATAGGAATATACCAAAATGAATTTGATGTTAACCAGACATGATCCATTTTACATCCTAAAAACAGCAGTATGTGTACAAAATGGCATTGTAAATTAACATTTTCTGGTTTGTTACAAAGATAAATAAGAAAAACTTTTATTTTAAGTATTTCATAGATAGACCAGCTTGCAGAGTAGAGAGAGGATTTTTGCCACAATTTGCATTTATATGGACCACAGGGTTTACATTCAGTCTATTAGACGTAGCAATAAAATTCACACCCAGTACCTAGGGGACAAGCTTGGGTTGGGGTGAAAATACACAGATTCAGTCCCTGCCTTAGCCATCAGTCTGTAGTTCCCTTCTGACATGCGTCTACCATTCTTACTTTGGCTGTAAAACTTCCAGGCAGAATGTTAAACTGACTGAAGGAGACCCCAGTCTTAAGTACTGAAAGTTAGAGAAAAAAAAAGTGTAGGAGTCCTGTAATCCAGAAGTATGGCTTAGTCTGAGCTCAATTTTGTTTAAAGCCCTTGCATTTTTCTAGATTCAAAACTTTCTGCTTTTTACCCACTATTTTATGCATTTCTTCCCCCTTGATTATGAGGCACAACAGCATGGAAACTGGGGACAAATCAGTCAGCCATGAAATAGAAATGATTAGACAGAGAGTGAGGAATCTGCTCTGTAAGCAGCTCTCTAAAAGGCCTCAGTGTTGTCTGTATTCAAATACTTCCCATAGCACATTTTAAAAATAACCTTCTCTTGTGAGAAGCAAGAGACACGTTCCCTTGATTTGGAGCAGAGCATCTGCCCAGCTTCCCCTGCAGCAGATGTGTGGTGCAGGCAGCTTTAGGGTTGGGATCCAGGCAAGGGGCAGAAACCCTTTTATGGAAACTCAAAATCCTTTTATGAAAACTCGACACATGGAGCAGCTTTGCATCAATGCTGTTGGTGACTTTGCTTATGGTTTGTCTTTGCATTACCTACCAAGTGGAAGCGTAGTGCTGAGAAGTTTCCAGAAAAATGGGGCAAGTGACTGGATTTATGTTAAGAGGGATGTGAACAAGGCCTTATGGAACCTGAGGTATGCAGACAGTGGAAGTAACAGCTCTGAACAGGGGGAAGCACAAACTAGTAAAAATCACCAGAACTTTTTTTTCCTCAATTTTTTCTCTGGAGACCAGAAAGGAAAGATTTTTCTTCCTCACACAACTGTCTTCATACTTCACCTAGACAGAGAGAGAATGTGCACTAGTGGTTCCCTTGTTTCAGGCACTGGCTTGTGAAGGTGGCTTACTCAGGCAGGGGGCAAGGAGGGAATCTACCAAGGGAGAAACAGCCTCTGTGCATGTGGGAGCTCTCCAGGAGTCATGCTGGTGATTCTACTGGTGGTTTGCCATAGTTTTATCTGTTTCATATGTCCCTCACCAGACAGTTCTGCTCTTGGACTTGTGTCCCGCAGGTTTTCTTTGTGATGAGACACAACAAACAGGGTGGAAAGCTTATTGCTTTTTTCTCTCGTTCATCCCCCAATGACCCAGGACTCACATGAAGGTGCCTGAAGTTCAGGCTTTGCTCTTCTTGTTTCCCAACACAGTATTTGTGTTTTTCGAGTACGGCTAAATTGCAGCCTTCGAGTTTTTAAGTTCAAACTTTCTCAACATATCTGTGGTCAGGTCTGCACAGAGTTTACTGAATTTGGAAAACACAGAGGAGGGAGCCAGCTCTCCTACAGATTACTCTTCTCACTAACTTCCTTGCTTCTTGCTCAGAATGGGCACAGACCTTGCAGCCAACTCTACAAAGTCTAATCCTCACTTTACTAGTGAGGACCAACTGTGCAGTCACATCTGCAGACAGTTTGCCATTTTTTCCTACAGTGATGTGCCAGGAAGAAAGGCCTGTGGCTAGTCTACCATCTAGAACATAACTATTATTTTATTGTAAACAAGTGGTGTCTATCTGCTCTTGGTTGTATAGGAGTCCTTTTTGCTCTGGAAAAAAAAAATAAATCTAGTACTTGGCT